CATAAACTCATACATCTGTGTGTGATTCAGACTGTGACGTCAGCTCTGCTCACTTTAAATATTCACACCTGTGTGAGGATTTGTAGATTTATAACCAGATAAATACAAGATAATCATTAAATCACATCAAATCCCGGCAGTCAGCTGGCGTCACTTTGAGAATAAAAACATGACTTCAGTCAAACAGCAGACATGCGATACTGAGACCACATCATTGCTTTGGCATCGTTGAGGGTCCTCAATACAACTCAGTACTTCTCCAGTCAGTTCCATGAAGGAATATTAAAGTGGTTTAAGGTTCAGTTCATCAAAATGATAAGAGTAAGGCCCAAAGTGGTCGACCGACCAGCCGGCCGACATGGCCCAATCTCCACCCTAAAGCCTAAACCCCCAACTAGTGTTGTAGCCAAGACTAGGGGCTGAGACCAAGTCGAGACCAAGACCGGTTCCCCAAATTACATGACACACAATAAAATGTGGAACGAGATCAGAGGTTCTTCTCAAACTGATCTGAAAGATCCACATTCCCATTAAAACACTAAGAGCTGAAATCAACGTCAGCATCTTTAATCAACACTCCTTTTCCACGCTTACCATCGCAGGGTCAGGCGACAGACGTTAACGGGAACAACACGTTTTTAATTAGGGTTATGGTTGCATTTAAAGCAATGTTTTACATCCAATCAAAGTTTGGATGTTAACAAATAAATCAGACAATGCAAAAGCAATTTATTGATGTTCCTAAAGTTATGGTCTTGTAATAAAATCCCAAGTCCTCAAGACCGAGTACAAGTGTGTTCGAGTCCAAGACCATCAAAAAGTGGTCTTAAGACCGGTCTCGAGTACTACAACACTACCCCCAACCCTCAAAGTTGACGTGTCCTGGTGCAAAACATCCTCATTGCTAAATGACCAAATAGGTCGATGTCCCAAAACAACATATGACCGCAGGAAAGTCCAACGACACATATGAGCGTTCCACAAAACAACGCAAGCGTTTTTCCATCAGTCCAGCAACAGGCTTACTGGTGACCTAAGTCACGTGACATTTAATGCGTAGAAAACTTTGTAAAACAGGTTGCAGTTTGGTTAAGGCAACAAAACCACTTGGTTAGGTTCAGGAAAAGATCGCTGTTTGGGTGTAAGTAAAGTGACTAATCTAACTTCTAACTAAACGCAACATCTACTTGGTTTAACATGGGACTTAAACGGCGTTCTCTTGTGAGAAAGTCCTGGGTTAGTAGACGTTTTTTAATTTCTCTGGTTTGACCCATCCACCACATTTCGCAGATTTTTATTGCCATTTATTATTCGTCCTCCGACGTCGTCCGTTGCTACCGTCGTACGGCCACCAGAGGTCACTAAAAAGGTAAACATGCATTGTAATAAGCAGTATAGTAATAATAGTGTAGTGTACACATTGGAGGTGAATTAATTAGAGTTTGTGCTGCTCACAGCACCAAAACATCTCATTCAAATAATTCAGCAGCAGCGTCTCTTCCAGAGACACCGTCCACGTTACATTGGCTCATCCTCTGAACACACTGTCAACCAGAGACCTTTTACTTTCTGCAACCATCAGAGTGAAGAGGTGTAGAAACAGTCGATAATGAGTTACCTCATTACAAAAAAAAAAGTTTGCTCTTAAAATTTGTATCTTACATGATTGTAAATTCAATTTCTCTGTTTTGGACTGTTGGTCGGACAAAACAAAAAGACATCTGAAGACGTCACTTTGAGCTCTTGGGATGCCTTTTTCCCTATTTTCTGACATTTTAGACTAAATAACATTCTGTTAATCAAATGATGAAAATGGTTTCCTGCACCTCTTCAGTGAAGCATCATGTCCAGCTTTACATTGGTCTTATTATCATCAAGTGTTAATTTGAAGTTCTAAATGATTTCTGCCAATGTGGTGGTACTGAATAAAAAAAATAAATAAAAAGAAGTGGTGACACCTGCAGGTCAAGTTCTGAGTGTAAAACCCCAGATATACAGCAGTAGGAAGGAAGGAAGGAAGGAAGGAAGGAAGGAAGGGGGTTAAAAAGTTCTGTGGTGGGCTGTAATGTAAAGTGCGCTGTACGCGATTTGTAGCCAACCGGCTCGTAACATGCAAAGCCACAGTCGTGACCTTTAATTCACTCAGAGGAAACATGTCTGTGTCCGCTTATAAAGGACGTCTGTGTGGATTTATTCTGTTGCAGCTTCGAGTTTCTAAAGTTAGACCAGGATGAGCTCACAACAGCATTGATGTTGCCGCCTGCACGATGTGTTTTTCTGCTGCTGACAAGTTTCCACTGAAACCAAAAACAAAGTTGTCTGTGATCCATTTTCTAGTCTGATCTAAACTGTTTTTTGTTTTTGTTGAAGGTAAAGAAAGTTTTCCCCGGGATATTCTTTTATTTTTTCATCTGCGAAAGAGTTTGTTCTAAATATGAATAAAATAATTCAGGTTTTCTTCCAGGTGGGCTTTAATTTCTCTATGAATTTGTTTTCTCACTTGCCTTCAGGGCTTCTGTTACTTTGTCTTAAGTTAAAGAGACAACTTTAAAAATACACCTGTAGTACAACGCATACCAAAAATGTCCTGTTTTATTTATTTATTTTAAACCTGTCCTGCCCAGCAGCCTGTGCCAGACTTAAAGTAAAATCTGAGTTTAATAAATCATTTATTTAATACACTCCTTTGTCTGTTTTCTTATTTATTTAATGATGTACTGATGTGTTACCGGGCGGGACAGGAATGGGAAGGGGGTGTGGGGACAGGAAACAGAGGAAAAACACCAGTTGCAGAAAGCAACTAAACCTGCAAGAGGACGGAGGGAGGAGAAAAAAAACAAACCATCCACAAAAAACTAAAACAAGGAGACAGCAGCAATAAACAGCTGACAGAAGAAAACAACTGAGGGAGAATAAAAAGTCAAGCTAAATAAACAGCACAGCCGTGAGAGCTGGAATAATAAAATAAAAATAAGTCACTTAATGAAAAGCATAAAGAACGATTCTACCTGCGACAACCTAAATTTGTTTGTGTCCGTGTGAAAGCCCGGCATGTCCTTTTATCAAAAGCCTATTCTCTTAGAGAGAGTTCAACGCATCAGTGCTTCCAGGTTCTGCGGCTTGTATAAAGCCGTTAGTGTCTCCTGAGGGACACGTCTGAAGGCTCAAATGTCCTCAAGTGATGGCAAGTTTGAAAAAGAATCAGTTCACCTGTAGCTGCTGCAGGCTCCATGTCTCACTCTGGGTAATTCAGAGTCTTGAAATGTGAAATAAAGAAGCCCAAATCTCTCTGCATCGATTTGAGAACCTCTCTCAAACTGGTCATCGTGACACATCGAGCAGGCGTACTCTTAAAGCTGGACTAGGCTTTTGTTTCAGAAGCACTTTTATTTGTTGAAAGTGAAAGAAATCGCAGGACTGTAATAAGCTCAGCTGATCCTTTGGCCACAGGAAATGATGTGACATTTGTAAAGGATAATTGCAGATGATCACAACATGTGTGTAATTTCTATTCTTGTCTTTCCAATTATTAAATAACTCTCCGAGCCAGCTGTTGACATCCGGCAACACATTAACACGTTACATGAACTTAATAATAAATACGTCTGGTAAAGATGGCGCTACTGTACATCCTCATTACTGTTAAAGAATCTCATGGAAAGACCAAAACCTCCGTCTGTCAGCTGCAAGCCCAGTGGTTCCTACTGAAAATGGAAATCTTTAACGCCTCACAAATATTATATAGTCACTCACTACTGTTGTTAAACAAACAGGAGGAGAGCGAGCATTTGTCGGGGACTATTTTCAGCCGCGGACGAATGCACATGTGGTGCTTTAGCCAGTTTTTGGTTTACTGTTGGTTTGGGATTTCTCAAAATAACCAAGTACATAGAGACGTACCAATCTTATGCTTCTGTAATAAACAAACCGGACAAGCGAATAGAAACCTTGCAGACTTTATTATTATTATTATTATCAACAAACTGTCCAATTTTGATCTGTACAGAAACAAAAAGAAACCCAAAAACACACCAACAAAGTGGACAGGGAAAAAATAAATCAGATGATCAGGAGCTCGACGGATTCAGACTCAAAAAGACCTTTATCATCACAAACCTAAAATCAAAATGTTCTAGTCATCATCGCTTGAGACAGCGAGGAGCCGACAGCTTCCTGTGGGCAACACACACAAACATCCATCACACACAGACGCACACTCGCTCACATGCTCCTCTGCTGGGTGCTGCAGGGGGTTCTGGGACGTTCTGTACAGCGGGATCCCCGGCGCGACGGTGAGTAGGCACGCTTTGATAAAAACCGACCTCAGATGGAGGAGAAATTAAAAATAAATGAAGGCGGGTCAACGAATCAGGATTTACTTCTCATTCACAAGCAGGGAGGGCAGCGCGAGTACAGGCTAACTACCGTGCGGCATCACTCACATTCTCCTCCTCCTCAAACCGAGACCGGAAAAGCTCGACAACGATTAAACCGCCTTCTTCCTCCGGCATCAACCTGCAGGCTGAACCGTCACACGAGCCAGATCCAGACGCACTCCGCGATCACCCGAGTCAGCTCCGTCAGATGAAGTCCAAGCACACCAAAGGATAGTAAGTGGACCTTTGAGCTTTTTATTTCTTCCTTTGTTTGTTTGTTTACATGCTTCCGGTTTATTTCTTCGATTTGTGCGAGTTCCTCTTTCCTCATTTACTCGGCACTGACTTGACAAAGCAGAGAGAAACTACCAGACTCGACACGGCGATATGAAGAACACGAGACCGCGTGCTCGCGCCAGGCTCCACGAAAGCCCGCTGAATGACACAGCGAACGTCTTCACAAGGCAAAAACTGTTTCCTGAACTTGTCCAACAGCTCAATGAACCCTGAATCCTCTTCACACCAGTGGTCGAACCCCTGAAGTATCATCACATTTAAAGACAGAGATGTACGGACTCGTCGCCGTCGCCCAGCTGATCTCCTCTGATCTCAGATCACGCGGGATTCATCGATCTGATCCACGACTCAGGATTCAGGAGGTCGTGTTTCAACTGCCGCTCGACTTCATCGAAGCTGACTGATAACGCGCTGCGGTCTGACACACCCTGCCCGGCGAGAGAGGCGTTCACCGCCGCACGTCAAACATCTAGCAGCTGCTGCAGCGGGTCGATGCCCGGAGGAGGCCGCACCTTCGCCACCCCCCCCACACAACGCAGGAAGAAGGGACGCTCGCTCGCTGGAGAAAAGGCAACCAGAGAACATTCAAATCATAGAAAATAAAAACTTGATCGTTAGTAAACAAATAAATAAGGCTATGACAAAACAAAATATATATATATTTATAGATATAAAAAAAAGAACGAAAAATGTGCAGTGACTCCAGTTTCATCTTTACACAAAAATGTTCACATCTCCATTTATAATCTAGAATCTTTTCCTTTCTTTCTTCTGTTGGTTTTATTTCCTGCATTGCTCTCAGCCGTTTTCCCCACAGCCGCCGTTAGCTCGCCGGTCTGGCCGCTCCTCCCAGTCCTGGATCAGACTCTGTGTCCCGGCCCGGCGCCGACCAGCTGCTTTCACCAGACGGGTGAAATCGGCTAAACTGGGAGCTGCAGCAGGTGGACGTGGTGCGTTTATGGCACACGTTGGGCTGGGGGGAATAAAGAGAAAAGCAAACCAAAAAAAAAAAAACGGACTGCGTCAGCGGGGAGGGCTGAGGTTGCCAGGTCTGCTGTTTCAAAAATAAAAATAACCACAAATAAGTCCCGTTGTATGAAGAGCTCCGAGCGAGCCGGCTTGTTCGTGACGTCTCTCTCTCTGTTTCACATCTGTGGCTCGGTGGAGGGCTGGCTGCTTAGCACCGCCCGCCTGGCAGTCCTATGGCGATAAAATCTAACTTACACACATCAGCAACAAAAAAAGAACAAAGATATATTTATGTATTTATAGAGCCAAACACCCTCCCCAAAAGCCTTTAGCGGGAGGACATAGTAGAATATGGTGGTAGAAAGACGAGCACGCACACTCACTGTAGTCATTAAAATACTAGAGTAATTAAACCGCTTTATACACGAGCATTTCCCGTCCCATTCTCTACACATTTACACTTCGCCCCCATATCCTGACCTCTGACCCCATATCCTAACACCCCCCACCCCACCCCTCCCCCTCACAGCAGAGGGGGGAGCGGGGAAAACCTACATCAGGTGAGTGCAGGGTAAAACTGCCGCAGGAGCCGGCGCTCTGTATAGAAGCTCAGATAAAGATGAAGAGGAAGAGACGACAGTGGGCGGGGCTCATGTAGCACAAGAGCAGGTGAGTCACTGATCAAGCCCACTTTCGCCTGCAGGATTGTGGGTAATGTCATTCCAGTGATGGGAGAGGGAAATGTAAGTCTGGAGGGTGTTTGTAAATGAAGGGGGGGTGGGGTAAGTGGAGTTTTTGTGGGCGTAAGGAGGAGAGGGGCGATTCTGTTCAGCGGCGGTCGTTTCTCCTGTGGGTGTGTCCTGACCCCAGAGTGGGCGGAGTCTACCTGTCCTTCAGCTCCTGAGTGACGCGTTTGGTGAATCTGCCGCAGAGCAGCCCGATCAGGAAGAGCAGCAACACGCCTGCGCCAATCACAGTCAGGATGTAGTTCTTGGATGGTGATGTCATCACCTGCATGGCCAGGTCTGAGAAACCCTCAGCAGGAGCCACCTGACAGGAAGTGAGGACAGGACAGTGAGAGTTCAGATGCGTTCACGTTCTTCTACTTTATGCAGTTGTTTAATGAATTCCAAATCAAAAGCCCCTTTAGCCAGATTTTATACAGCTCGTTAATTAACATTTATTCATTTAGCCGACGCTTTTATCCAAAGCGACTTACCATTGCTATACACGTCAGAGGTCTCACGCCTCTGGAGCAACGAGGGGTTAAGTGTCTCGCTCAGGGACACAATGGTGGACGGGTCACAGTGGGGGATCTCACAATGCGTCTTATCCATTAAATTCCAAAATAAAAGCCCCTTTAGCCAGATTTTATACAGCTCGTTAATTAAATTCCAAATTAAAAGCCCATTTAAAATTGATTTTATGCAGCTCAATGAGTCAATTTCAAAATAAAGCTCCCTTTAAACTTTTAATAAAAAATAAGATATTTTGTTGCCCATTCCATCACTTTTAATGTAAAAGCAACCTATAAACCAGATGTTATGCATCTTATTCAATCCCTTTGCAACTGATGTTATTTAGCTCATTCAATTAATTTCAACATTAAAACCCTTTTTCATTAAAGCACCTTGTTCACTGATTTGATAAAGCTCATTTCAAAGTAAAGCATATTTTAATCTAGATTTTAAGCAGCTCATTTATTTATTAATAAATAAAAAAGCATACACTATTTATGACTACACTACTGAGAACAGTAAGTAAAGTAAAGCAGCGTTTTAAAATGTTTCGTGACAGTTGAAGACAAAGGCTTTGCATTTGACAAGTTGAATTCCATTCTTGTTCTCACTAAGTTTGTTTTATTCAACAGTCTAATTATAAACCAGCTGTTTAAACTTAAGTGACAGGGTGAAGACGCGGCGGTTCACCTACCTTGGCAGCGTAGCCCCACATTTCGATGCGATCCTGAAGTCTCTTCTTGCACTCTGGCTGCAGACGAACACGTTTGTCCTGCAGCGCCTCCATCAGGCACGACATCTCTGAGGAAACAACAGAACGCAACTTCGATCATATGTTGGTTAGAAGATATTTAGTCTTCTTTTTTATGTAGTTTCCAATTTATCTTCTAAATAAACAAACCTGTTTGTTTCTTAAACTTAATAAACTCAAACTGACAACATCCAAATAATAATCCATAATTGGATTCTGCTTCTCGGTTCCTAACTTTCTGCATATTTCCGCTCCCGCCTGAACTGCAGTGAGCGTTTCACAGTTCATAAAAGTGTCTCTGCCAGGAGCTGCTACGCCGACCTAACGCCATGTCATATGTTATTCAGTGCGTCAACAAAGCGTGAAGAAGAGAGTCCTTCTGTTTCCGGTCCTGGACCGTGGCGGTCCGCAGCAAAGCTCCAAAGTTTGGCTCAGCTTCACTGAAAAAGAGAACGGCGCAGCAAAACGCAACAAATGCAGTAAGGAGGTTCGGTGCGAGGGAGGAAGCCGCTCCAACGTGACGAAGCGTTTCCTTCAACACGGCGTGAATCTGAAGGAACGCTTCACCGTGTTCAACGTGTCGCGCCCTCCCAGATCCAGCCAACGCTAACAGGAGCAACGGCTCAGGCGAGCTGACGTTCACCTTTTATACTGAAGGGAAACGAAGACGTCTACAGATGAGACGCCCCTCTAGGACAGAGACTCCTTTCACTTTAGCCACGAAGGGGAAGAGGAGCGAGCACGTCACCGAGAAGCGACAAGATCTGTGGTCAAGGAGCTGGATTCAGAATAGAGTTTCAATAAGAACCGCATTCCATTATTAAAGTCGCTACAATTCAAACGACACCCAACCCTAAAAACACTCGGATCCGATTTCCTGCCTTTTCTTTCAGGGGGTAAAAACCGCTTCTGAGCTGTGGCGGGTGTTTTGTGGACTCACGTCGCCCCTTGCCAGGTGGGATGGCTGCACATTGGTGTTTGATGTCCAGAGCGCAGGCTGTGTGGAGGACGGGGTCGACGAAGATGTCCGCCTTGCTCTCCTTCAGCATGTTCAACACCTCCTGCAGGAGGAGGGGGAGAAAGCCAGATGAGAAGAGGAGAATAGTTAGAGGACAGTTTCTAGAGGTGAATGAAATTTCTGCATTAATATCATCATCATGTTTTCTGCTCATGCCAGTGGAGAAAAATAAATAATAAATCTGTGCCTGTACAGATCGGTCCGGTGGTCAGTGAAGGCAGCAGAGAGTTTCTTTACCTTCTTACATGCTTCCTGTTTGATCTTCAGCAGGTTAATCTTTAGACACTCCTCCACCTGCCCCGTCTGCTCCTGAGCGGCTGCTTCCTCCGGACACAGCCTGGAAATCTGAAAACGCACACAGTCATCAGCAGCCGTACGTGCTGTCCAAGTGCCTCTGAGCAAGGCGCCGGGCCCCTACCGGCTCACTGTAACCAGGGCTGAGTAGATCCTCACGCTGAGAAGTTGTCAAATACTGACTTCTCAGCAGTTATTAAGCGTTGCACTCGGCTTTGTTCTGAGAGCCAGGTGGCGTCTTGTGATAATTTGTGGCATCAGCTGTACGAGTTTCCACTTGTCAAGTTCCATTAAGATCCGTCAGCGTTTATTCAACATCTCTACATGTCTGAGGACCAGCAGCACCACAGGGGACTGGTGTGCATCTTTTTACACTCAGTGTAAATGTTTATTGCTTTCTTGATTCTATGATTTCTGCTGGTTTGATCTGTGCATTTAATGCGCGTCAGAAGATCTAAAGAGGAGTATCACTTTTTACTTTTGATGTCGAGATGAAATCCTCTAAATTTAACCAATAATGAAGCCATTCGAAATGAGTGCTTATAGCCAATCACACGGGCCGGTTTCACCTAAACTACCAATGAAATGTGTGCTGAAGTTTCTTCTCTTCAGCCAGTTAATGAGTTATCATCGCCCCCTGCTGTGCGGATAGCCATATTGCAATAAATGACTTCAGGTGAATCCACTTTCTCACACAGCGCACACGTTCAACAGTACAGTACCCGACAAAACATTAAATTATTTAATAACAAGAAATGAGCCTGCACGCGTGGCTGTTAAACACTTCTGCTGAGGGTTTAAAGTGTGGAATAACAAGGCCTAATACTCGCAGTATACGTCGCTGAACAATGAGGTGCTCAGAATGCGTGTGTGTTCGTAAGAAAGCCGAAATGTGCAACCTCTTGTGTGCAGTGGATCTGCAGCTGAGGGTCCAGCCTGTAGTCGAGCGCCGACTCCTGCAGGATGACCCGGATCTGGTCCTCACAGTCTGTAGACAAGCGCTGTCACAACACAAACACACGCGTGAATATTTTTATATGATCAAGGTTCTTATTCGTGGGATACCTGTAAGGCTTTTTCTGTGTATAAAGAGTTGCACCACTTATCTGATGTTCTCCAACATTTGCACACAAAGCCCCCACAAAGTGTCGCCCCCACAAGCACCAGCTTGAAGTTATTAGTGTCCCCCCCCCATCTTTCATCATTTACCCTAAAAAGCTGAAAATGATTGTTGTGTTTTTCTGTCGGAGGTGAACCAGGGATGTTTTACAGATATCAATCGTTCTGAGAAGATGGACAGAAAACCTCAGTATCATTAGAGACTGATGAAAGAAACTCTTTATGGTAAGTGTGTTAAGAACAAGTCTGTGCACGGACATGGTGTCGAGGACGTGTTGTTTTCAGTAGAGACAAGCGTGTCTGACCTGGTCGGCGTATTTGAGTTTGAGGCAGGAGATGACCTGACCCTCCAGCTCGCTGTCGGCCGTCGCCTTGTCCAGGATGGGCTTACAGAACTTGGGGATGTCGGCTTTACAGGCCTTCCTCAGCACCGGGTTCAGCCTGAAGTCTGCGCACACACACACAAACTTTCAGCAGTTGCACTTTTTCTCAGACTTTTCCAACACGCAAAGTCTGTAAATGTATTAATGAAGATGGCGTCAGGCAGAGTCTCTGCGTGTACCTGTGTTCTGGGTGATCTGTCTCTTGGTGATCATCTGTTTGCATTTAGGATCCATCAGCTCGCTGTTCTTGTTCTGTTTCAGACACTGAAGAACGTTCTTTCCCTCGGACTCCGTACAGAACCGCTGAAACACACGTTCACATAAAACGGCGGTACAAACAACACACGTATACAGTTGTGTTCAAAATACAGCAGTCCAACATCATTAACCAGAACAATCACGGTTTTTGATAGAAATTACATTCCTACATGGCAAATTATTTACTAGTAGGTGTAGTACAGTAACAGAGAACCAACAGTCATGGAACACATGCTGCCAATTTTGTAGAATTGAATCATTAATTGAAAGGGGCGTGAGGTCAGTCATTCTATGAAAATCAGGTGTCAACAGGTGGCCCTCATTTAAAGACAAAGGCAGCAAATATTGCACAGGCTGGTTGTCGTGCATTTCTCTCAACAACAGCGTACTTTGATTCAAAAGTGAAGAGTGAAAAACATGGCTGCTCAGCTAAAGTGATCTCAAATGCTTTCAAACCAAAACCAGAAAGACGTGGAAGAAAAGGGAAACTACCACCCAAAGCCGGAAAAAGACCAGCTCCAGGGAGATCAGAGGGTCGAACGTTTCCTGTGAGCGCTGTAACAATTAGAAGACGCCTACGTGAAGCCCCCGCAAAGTCCCACGACACGTGCTGAAGAGGTTCGCCAGCGTCGACTGGCCTAAAGAGGCAAGATGTCTAATAGAAAACATCAAAAATGCTGTTTCTGAAGCAAAACCCAGAAATGCAGAGGAACTGTGGAGCGTCGTCCTGGGCTGGAAAACCTGTTCACAGGTGCCAACTAAATACTAGTGACTGACAGGAAAGCTAGTTTCCACAGAAAATGTTTGAGGTGTAAAGAAATGTGCAGACGCTGCTGTTGTTTTGAATAATATTCCTTTTTCCTCACTTTCTGTGTAGTAATGTCAAATTAGATTTGATATTGAACGTGCAGTGTTCCCAGAGCGTCTATAGAAAAGCTTTTTTAAGGATTAGAGCTTTAGTCACTTTTTTCAACACACTGCTGTTGTTTTGAACACGTCACTGTTCGCCATGTGCAGCGCTCCGTTTACTTTCAGCATCTTTTAGATAAATCTGCACATGTGGAGACCGCTCAAACGTGTTGGGATATTGATGCGATGATTATTGTGTGATGCCGGTTTTACCGTTCTACCCTGATCATGTGACACTGGTTGCTTTTATTGGCCTACCCTGATCATGTGACACTGGTTGCTTTTATTGGCCTACCCTGATCATGTGACACTGGTTGCTTTTATTGGCCTACCCTGATCATGTGACACTGGTTGCTTTTATTGGCCTACCCTGATCATGTGACACTGGTTGCTTTTATTGGCCTACCCTGATCATGTGTTTGCAGACTCTCATCAGCTGGTAGTCCAGTTCAGGATCAACCATCTCGACCTCCTGCAGCTTGAAGATGCGCTGGTGGCAACGCTGAGTCAGCTGACGCTTGTTCTCCTTCAGACACTCGATCACCTTCAGAGGGAGACACGGATTTGATCGTTAGTAAATCACTTGAAGTATATGAAATGCAGAACTTCTCTCTCCAGCTGGAGCATCAACATAGTCCTGGAAACTTTGAAGGAACCAAAAACTGTTTTTTTATCAAGAAGAATTCAGACCTTTATCTTAGCTCTTTTAATTTCATGTTTCATGCATGTGTGTGTTACGGTATTTGTTCTATATAGATGATATCTGGTCTCTCCTGTGGGCTCAGTAGAAACAGCATGAGACTGCACTGATTCCTACAGGCTGAAAAACACTTGACTGGAAAATGAAAGCATTTAATCCGTTACATCTACAGCTAACATCCCATGATGCTTTACACTGGCTTCATACCTGCCATTTATTGGACCTGACTGCATAAAAATTCAAGATATACGTTAGCATGATGTAATCACATGCAGCTGCTGACCTGCGCGTTGCCGAAGGCCACGTTCTGACACAGTCTGTTGATGTCCTGCTTACAGGAGTCGTACAGCTCCGGCTCCAGGCGGATGTCCTCCGACTGCAGAGATTCAGGGAGGATTAAATGAATTTACAGAAAAGAGAGAGATAAAACCATCAGAACAAGAGCTCAGAAGCTTTTCAACATCCTGAACTGAACTTCTGCTCTGATTACTGTCACTCCTGTTATGATAAAGAAATACACATCATTCACACATTTCTGTTCATCTGACTACTTTTCTTTTATAAATGCAAAAGTGTTTGAACGCTTTTAAAGAGCATTTTCTGTAAGAGCATTCAAACACTCAGGTTTATGAAAACAGTCAACTAGAGATGTGCTTTGTCACCAGAGGCTTTTAAAGAGCTCTAATATTTCTCACTGTGGCAGCTTCTTTCCCTGTAATACAAGTTTTATGTGAAGAAACCTTTCTGTACAGCCACAACGCGGAAACAAATTACAATATATTCATCAACTTCAGGGCTTTGAATGCTGTTAATCCACCACAGCAGTGAAAAAATATTCCACTAGTTATCAAAAGGAAATGTGTATGATTGGTTAAAGAGCTGTAGTTCAGAGACACAGTAGTTTTGGGCAATAATACTATTTTTTATATTTTTCCACCTTCCCAGAGCCAGGAACTAAACATGGCTTAGGACAGACCTTTTTATGTATCTGGTGCAGTCTGAAGTTATGTCAAACAGCAATATCAGCCTATCTCAGCTGAATTGTTGAGTGTCTGTGAGATCAAATAACAATGATCCCATGGGCATCCAGGAATTAAGAGATTCTAAGCAAGTAAATTAAGGGGGATGTGAGGGGGTGCGTTACCCAAAGCCTTTTCTGAGTCTCCTGCATTAGAGTATCTGCCCAAAAGTATGCAGACTTCAAACAGGGGACATCTTAATGCTACAGCACAAAACTGGATTTAAGGTAATAGCGCTGGTCTCTTTCCTGTTCCAACATGACGGCTCCCCTGCACACAAAGCGCCATAAATAATGGTCTTCCCACTTGACAGACATACACAGAGCCCTGACCTCAAGCCCGTCCAGCGCATTTTAGGTGAACGGAACGCCAACCTGGCTGGATGATGAAATATGCATCTCCAAAATGTCAAAAAGGGCTGGATTTTCAGCTTTACGACAAGTATTTAGATAGTCCAATAAGTTTATTATGATGGTTTATGTAACGTAAGGAAGATGCTTTTCTTAAAATCACCACAAAACACACACACACACACACACACACACACACACACCCCCCCTCCTGTGGCTGAATGAAAATCCTGAAATCAGAAGATCGGATGCTCTTATAACATCTATCTGGTCCAGGTGTCCGCTTTCTTTAAAAGTCTTGTTTTAGTTAAAAAGCTTGAGTGACAGTCTCTGGAGGCTAAGCTATCCAGACATTACACTGTGTGTGTGTCGGTGAACGCACCATCTCCACCTCCTCCACCCGCAGCTGTTTACGACATTTGACGGACACTCGCTGCTCCTTGGCGTCCTGCAGGGTGTCGTTCCTCACCGTGGTGCTGAGGCAGATCACAACGTCCACCCTGAGCGACAGGAAGACAAGAGGTTACACACCCAGTCTGACTTTTAGCTGATACAATATGTCAAGATTATTTTTGCACTTCGCTGAAAATGGGAGAGTCTGTTTGTCGATCAGTTGTGGATGAAACAGAAACCTTTTTGCTTTAAGCTCTTTAAAACAAACCTGACATTAATGCTCCCATAAAAGCCAGCGTTCAAAAGTCCGTCTCAAACAACAGCTGAACAAATAAAGGTTGGACGCTAATAAAAGATGAGTGAAGAAAACACACAGGGTTGTTTTTCACATGAAAGGTCTACTTCTAAAAGGAATGCAGCCAGACTTTAAGTGTGAAAAGCCTGGAGGAAGCCTTAAGTTTAATTCATGGTAGTTTAAGAAAGAAAAGGCAAAGTGGAAGGCCCGACATGACCGTTGTAGTGCCGCTGAGTGTGCACAAATAAAGGACCTTCCACTGAGGTAAATACTATTTCAAAATTCACGTTACATCAATTTGCAACCCCTCATCACAGTAACGATCTATGAGCTGTTCAACCACAGAGATTGTTTCACGGGTGGTGATGGAGCAGTGGATAAGATGCCTGCCTTTGGTGTGAGAGAACTGGGTTCAATTCCCCACTGTGACCCACGTGTCCCTGAGCAAGACTCTTAACCCCTCGTTCACATGTATAGCAGCTGCAAGTCGCTTTTGGATAAAAGCGTCCGCTAAACGAATAGACGTAATGTAATAATTGTGGAAGCCTGGAGAGGTAAAACTGCCTAAAAGAAGTGGGCGTAGCCAGCGTGACGTCACCCACTGGTTCGTGAAGTACCATTTTAAAGTCGCATTGCTACGCCTGACTGGTCAAACACAGGGTGGCCCCGCCCTAAAGCATCTCCTGCTTTATCGTCCATTTTCCTCTAAATGGGACCATCATTTTCTCAATGAACGTCACGCTGTGTTGAAGGACACTTGAAACTAGGGACTGAGAACACAAACTCATCAGGGAAGTGTTTACTGAAGCAATAAATCAGGTGAAAAGAAGCCTCATTTTGACGTAGAGTTCTGTGCACTCAGACTTCTTTTTGCAACCAGTGGAGTCGCCTCCTGCTGGCCGTTAGAAAGAATGCAAGTTTTCAACACAATGCAGAACTTGAGGTGTCTGTCTTAAAAGTCCATTTTAATATGAATTCAATATTTTCTGTAAAACATACCGAAATAACTCCAACAAATATAAAACCAAAAGCAACAACTTGCTCGCTGCTGGATGTGTTTTTAACATTCAAGAAGCCTTTTCAAAGCTTATTATTCAGTCACCAGCTTTCCTCTGAAACACAGAGCTGAAAACCATAAGAGGAGTTTTAGGAACGTGAACTGAGCAGCCATTATTTAGAAAAACACCTGGAAACATTTGAGCGCCGAAGTTCATGTTTTACCTTTGGGAAAAGAAGACGGTACAAAATATTCTGAAATACAGGCTGTGAGATGACGCAGAAAGCTCCTGAAGCTTTTTAGCTTAGACTGTTCGGTTACATATCTGATAAAATGGTCGGAGTAATTGGTGGTTTGGGGGGGGATTTGTGCCATCTGCTGCAGACAGGCAGATCGTGTCTTACTTCTTCTTGATATTGGGACACAGTTTGAGGACGTCCTCTTTGCAGGCCGTCTTGAACTTGTAGGAGAAACGGAAATCTTTGACCTGAATCTGTAGACACAGAGAGACACAGAGCGGCTTCTCAGTAATGAACTCAGCAGATAAAACGGCTACCACACAATGAGCAATGAATACACTGACACGTCTCCAGTAACTCACACTATGAAGGTTGCCAACAATTGTTTTATGTCCATTTTCAATACTTGCCAAAAGAAAAAAAAATCCTGCCCCTTTGTGTCATGATTTTATAATAAAATCTGCTCACCAGCTGGAAGTGCGTCACTCCCACCGCGCACTTCTCGTTCATCTCCTTCTGGTGTTTGTTCTGAACCAAACACTCCATCAGATCACCAGTGTCGATCTGATTATCAGCTACCTCCTAGCAGACAGGAGGAGACAGATAAGGATTTGTACAGGCCAAATAAAGGGTTAAAGATTAGATAAGACAGGACGGCTCTTTAAAACACAAACATCCTGTTTCATTTCATACATGGTGCCTCTTTATCTGAAATATTTTTGCTTTGGAAGTCAGTTTTTACTCTCTTGGCCTTCTTAAATCAGAAAAACAGATCTCTTCTTTCACCAACACTAAATCAAACTGGATTTAAAAACATCTCGTGCAGACTTACGTGGCAGTGGGTCTGGATGACGGGTTCACAGGCTCGCATGAGCAGCGCCTCGATCTGAATATCCTGAGGACAAAAAAACCGACGCTCAAAATAATCAGGAAGATCAGAGGGTTCAGTTTTAACCTGCTTTTATTCCGTCAGGAAGGCCCAGTGTCTACATTAACTAGGTCCCTGATGAAATGATGAAAATAAAAATGTGAACACGTCTAATGGCAACAGCGAATCTGAAGAACAACATCTGTTGGTCCTTTTCAGTTTCTCTCTTCTGTCTAGTTCCTGGAGGTTTCCCTCCTACGTCAGCTTTAGCTGGCCTTCACACAGAACCACTAATCTATCTGATGGTTAGACTCCAGTTCTACATCATATTAAAATCTATAACCATCCATGAGTTCTACTCTGATCTGTGGAGCCAGTGAGTTCATGTAAACATTCTAGTAAGATTCCCAGAGAACACTGATGTCTGCCAGCCTGACGCCACCTGATCAGTCCAACTGTTGTCTCCCTAACAAGGACGGTAAAGAAATAACCCGTCTTACGTTTCCCTGTTACATCAATTAAGCCTCCTAAGAATACTCTGTAACAAACTTTATGAAATCCTTCAAAGTGTCCGCACTACGGTCGAGTGCAAGAGACAAAGAAACAATTGATGTTTTGCGTCACAAGCCAAAGAGTTACAGATGATTCTGGTTGTTTTGGGCACTTGACATATAAAATCAAAATGTACCGAGTGTCCCTGTAGAGGAAAAACCTCCTTCTGGACAGACGCTGTTTGAATTCCCGCCAACCAGATTGTACGGAGAAGCCGAAAAGTGTAAAATGTCGATTTGAATCGATGGAAAATAAAGAAAGATAAATGAGCCTGGGTGGATGGTCTAAAGCCTCCCGCAGTCGCTGTTGGTCTCCATCAAACCACAGGAAACTTCTTCATGTTTCCTTGGCTGCTTGACCCGTTAAGAGTGTTGAACTGTGGTGGCAATTACCTCCGACTCCAGCTCCGTCAGGTTTCCCACCACGTCTCTGCAGTCAGACACCAGATCTTCCAGGTGATCCTGCAGACACTCCAGCTCCTGTCCGGCCTCCGTCTTCTCGCTGCACCACTTCCCCAGGTCGGTCATACATCGCCGCTGGAGCTCAGGGTCCAGCTTCACATCCTGCGCCCTCTGGTGGAGAATCCTCTGCACCTCCACCTTGCAGTCTCTGGAGAGCTGCAGGAGGACAAACACGTCGGGTTAGAGGAGCCGAGGGAAACGCCTCACTTTTATTATTTGTTATTAAGAGGCCTTAAATGGATACTCCTCTCTAGGTTTTTAGAATTTTTGTCCTGTACGCATCATTTTGAAAGGTGCCCGTTTCCCTGATTCACAATAAAGAAAATACAGAAAACATTCAAATGGAGGATTTGTTGTTGTTGTTTTCCATCCGTGTGTGTGTCTCTACGTGCTTTTCTCAACATGTCTTTTCTTCATGAAGGAGGAAACACTTTTAGTCTTCAGAGGGGAGGGTTTGCTACTGAAACAATATGTGTGGGTGGAGTGATGGGGTGGGGATGGCGCAGTGGATAAGACCCATGCCTTTGGTGTGAGAAACCCGGGCTCAATCACCCAGCGAGACACTTAACCCCTCGTTGCTCCAGAGGCATAAGACCTCTGACATGTAGAGCAATTGTAAGTTGCTTTGGATAAAAGCGTCGGCTAAATGAATAAATGTAACGGAGTTTCACTTTAAGAGCTGTAAACACTTCAGATTTTATCAATAACTTCATTAGCTCCGGTTGATTAATAAGCACAACCATATTTTCCATAATTGGAGATTTGCATTGATTGTTCACATCATAGTTCAGCAGCTCAATTACTCTTTAAAGAGGTGGTATTCTGCATGTAACAGGTTTGCAAAGTGAAAAAGCCCAAAGGGAGTTCCCATGTCCCACAGAAAGCTTCACTGCTCTCCATTCAAATCAGCGGGGTGGCTTCGTCCAGTAATAGACTGTCTGTGGCTAAAACGAAGCCTGCAACGCAGGGTGAAAAGAGGAGCTGCAGCAATGTGCAGTCTGACAAAAATATAACCATGTAACCCTTTTCTGGTACAAGCCTTGAATAAGATTTGGAACCTGAAATTGAGCAGATACCACCTCTTTAAATCGACCCCTACATGCACAGATCTCAGATAAGAATTACAAAATCCAATCACTTCCCCCACAAACCAGCAGCCATGGCGACAGACATGTCCAGCTTCCTGAGATTATCATTATCAGCAGCAGGACGTACTCACAGTCAAACCGCGGTTTTCTGCATCAGGCGCTCCACTGCCGAGCTACGAGAATATTCTCTGGTCAGTGAGAACGTTTGCAGACTTATTTTCTTCTAGACACTGACACTCACATTTGTATGGTTGGTTTGGGAATTTAAGTGACAACCAGTGGGTGCAAAAAGATGAAAGCCCTTGAAACTTAGATCAGCACTTTAAGCAAGGAGGTTAAAGGTCAGTACACCCAAATTTCACTTCCAGGTAGCTGCGTTCTCTTATCTATGAGATGTCTGCAGGTTACATTTCACAGTTGTGAGATCAGATCAAAAAGCTTCCAGTGCTCCAGGACTCACCCTCCGTCCCTGCTCCACAGAGCGGTAGGCGTGGCGGTACAGGCAGGAGAAAATGGCGCCGGGCGGCATCATTTCGTTCGTCTCGTTCCAGCCGTGAGTGTGGCAGAGCCGGGCAGCGTCGCCCTGACACTTCTTATACAAGATGGGATCCAACCTGTGCAGCAACACAGGGAGCAGTTTCTAATCTCGCATCTTTTCTTCCATAAGTTCAGACAGTAAAGCAGTTTATAACGTGTGGTTTTAGCTAAAGGTCAGCAGGTGAGGTGGTGCTAAGGAGCTGCAGGTTTTTTAGGATTAGCGGGACTCACTTCCAGTCTCTGGCGATAAAGTACTGCAGCTCCAGCAGTCTGTGTTCACAGTCCTCCACCATCTTCTCAGTGTACAGATGCTCCATCAGACATGACAGGATCCTGCAGAACAAATGTAGGAATCAAATATTTAAAGGTACTTTTTTTGGACTACTACAGACATTTGCCACATACAGAACACAGTACAACCTTTCCTCAAATACTCTTGGGGAACAAAACTTACATGAAAGTGGCCATTTTAGAAGAGAAATAAACTCTAAGAGGAGTTTTCTTTGAATCTGATTATATTTATTTTTTCTGATTGAAACTTGCAATCTGGGTCTTTGCATCAGTGAATAAAAAAGGTTTAGTGAAGAGAACAATTCTAGACAACAAATATATGACATGAATACAATGCAGATTTACAGTCAGTAAATCACTGCTTCTAACGCAAAGTTATAGAAGGTGGGACATATTAAGCTGGATTCCTGTGAGCAGTATTCAACCAATGTGATAGGATACCCCACCTCTGTAGAGGTTTTGCTCAATTATAAATTGCATTTTTATGACACATGATATTGTGAAAAATATCACGTCACATGTGTAGACAGACAAAATTAAAAATCTGTGGTGGATACACAGGTACTGAACAGAGATCAGATCATCTAATGCAGGGTTTGAGCGTCACAGAGGACTCACATGGGGTCTCCGTTGCGGATGTGTTTGCAGGCAGTCTGGATGACGGACTCGCAGGCCTCGTTGAGCGCTCGGTCGATGCGGTAGTCGGCTCCGGGGTCGGCTTCCTGGATCAGAGTCTGGAGCTGAGGATGGAAGATGCATCATCATCATCAACGGGGGGGGGGGGGGGGTCTGCTCTGGGTATCAGAGTTCCTTAAGAAAGAAGCTTTTCACCCCTGCATATTTATTCCTGGAAGTGACTTTACAAACTCAACCTATTAAACTAACCACCAACAGTTTTGCAGCCTGCACACTAGGGGTCGACCAAAGATGGGTCCGATATTCAGCTGATACTCAGCATTTTTCCAATAATGTGCATCGGTGGTTTTAAAACCAGAGAGCCGATATAATTTAAAAATGCGCTCCTCTGGCTCTGATGCAGACGCCTCTCTGTCTGTAGGTCTGAGCAATGCCCCGCCCACAGTACTAGCAGATTGGTTACACGTCACGAGAAATAGCCCATCAACACTGGCTGTTGTGCAGAAGCGAGCCGCCACTCTGCAGCCCCTCCCCTCCTCTCTCCGCAGATCAGTGTGGACTAAAATTTAGCAGCTCCTTGTGAACTCCGCTCCTCTACAGCAGCAGCAGAGGGAGGAGGAGGAACGACTGACTGAGTTTATTTTACATGCTCCATTTGTTTCCAGTGAGATTCTATATTGTTACTTTACTTTTGTTGCTGCACTGAAAACAGTTATAATAAAATATTAAATTTGATTACCGAATTTATTCTTTTTTAAATAACTTTTTTTTTAAATTATATTGTAATGCAAAACTAATGAGTATAGATAAAGAACAGAACCAGTATATCAATAAAAAAAACATAATACATAAATGGCAGCAGGTAAAGACAAAGTTTATGATAATTTATCCCTCACAGTAAACAAGTCCATCTCTAGGATGATCTCTATTCATTAAATTGACTATTTATAAAGATTAAAAGTGACAATTAACTTTTTGAATAGTTTTGTGTTAAAAATTTTTACAGCAATGTCCATCAGTTCCACATATCAGTCAGTCATCGCTCTAATTGGTTCCTAATAAACAGGAACGGCACAGAAAAACCCACATCGGTCGATCCCTACTGCACACAGAAGTGTCTCAACTTTTTAAGTGATATTGCAAAATGTAACAAAGCATTTCCTTTAGATGCCTGCAGCTCAAGTCGTTCCAGGATAAACGCTATCAACTAGTGGAAAAAAGTCAACGTTTGCATGCTATGTATGTATATATAACAGTATGGCTGCTGAAAGCTTGTTTTTGGTAAGTTTTCACAGAGTTCATTTTGACGCCAACTTACCGCCCTCTGACAGTTGGGGTCGATGGATCCCATGTCTCCTCGGCCGACCCGCATCAGGCAGTGCAGCGTTCGTCCTTTGCGGTGCAGACCGGAGCACTGACCCTCGATCTCGCTCCGACAGTGAAGAACGATCTCCGGACTCAGAGAGAAATCCTCCATCAGCATTCGCCTGTAGTCCATCATCTCACCCTGACACTCCCCGCTGACCACCCGACCTGAAACACACACACACACACAGTGAGCTCCATGCATTTTATAGGATATCATTTACAGACAATGTCGCAGTTTCACAATAAAGTTTCTCTTTAATGAGTAGGTCGTGAGACAGGAACCTGGTTGTCTTATTGCTGCAATAAGGCTGCTGCAAGAAGCAATAAAGCAACCTCACTGCTGCAACTTCTTTTTCTCAGTTTTCCCCAGTCAGAGCAGTATTTTTCCCTCCTGACTGGAGCAGAGTCAGACTAACAGACAGGTCAGAGGTTCAGGTAATTTGGCTAATAGCGGCCTCTGATGGACATAATTAGTGTGCAGGAAAGAGAGCGATTGACAGGCAGGAGGCTCAGTCTGAGGCCGAGCGTCTCACCTCTGTGTACAGCAGACTCCAGACAGAGCAGCAGGTAGGACAGGCGAGATTCTCGGGCTCGGGGCACGTTGGCGTCTGCGCTGCAGCGGTACTTCCTCAGGTCTGACTTGCAGGCTTTGGCCAGCGAGTAGCTCACCTTGTAGTCCTGAGCGATCAGCTTCTGCCTGGTGGTCAACGCCTCGCGGCACTGAGGGGACACGGCCACAGAGGTTCAAACTACGTGGTAGTACATTTTGATCCTTCAACTCCAAAGTGGCAGAATACCAGATAATGTGGGTAACAAGACTTTGTGTGAACACTGGAACAATATAACCTTCAGCTTATGAGTCACTCAACTAACATGAGAATTTAAAGTGAAGGCAGGGCTACAGCTTGTCAGGAAACTAAATTATACCTTGTGTATCAAGGCAAACCTGTTCATTCTCCAGGCCTACTTAGTAAAACTGCAAACCTACTTCTAATAAAAAAAACACACACAAACTTCTTCTTGGACGGCTTAGGGTTAGCACAGTGGTGGACAGCACTCACCCTCTCAGACATCGCCTCCTCAAACTTGTGATTGAAGAGACATTTGTAGACTCGACCCTCCCCGGCCAGAGTCTGGAAAACAAAAACAGCCCGTCAACAGCAGTTTGAAATCAAAACAAGACCTTCTGTTGACCCCTGACTTTTCCATTGTTTTTATCAAAGGTGTTTTGGGATGAAACTCGTCAACTGCCTCAACGTGAGGCTGCAGAAACATCTCCTGCTCAACTCACACCGTTAACTGTTGCTGGCACCTGGTTGGCCACTAAAACAGAAAGGAAAAACTCTCTCTGTCAACTTGGTCATGAATGCATGAGGTCACTGAGGAGCTGAAGGCTCGATGTGTGACTGATTAGGAGAGGCTCCTCTGCTGCAGGTTTCAGAAAGCCAAACTTAACACGTTTTCTACCAATCAAATTGAATTAAGGGTCAAAAGGTAAAAGGCAAAAACATGCTGGTGAAACCAACATGTCTGGAAATTAAGACAAAGCACAACAGGAAATAAGTTCTAAAAGGATATGAAATACATTAGTAGTCAGAAATAGAAACGATGCACGAATCAATCATTGACTTAAGTGTGAAAGTCAGCTGCTTTCCAAACCCTCATCACCTAATATAAACCTTTCAGAGCTCTGTGGACGTGCGCATTAAGATTGTCAACTAAATCCTCACGTTTTCACAGAAGCGTTCTCGGTCCTCGCGGCAGGAGAAGTAGAGGTAGCGGTCCAGGTGGAAGTCGTCCGACGAGAGCTCGGCGATTCTCATGATGGACTTCTTGCATTCTTCCTTGATGGGTTGCGCCCCCGGCTGCTCCTCGGCCTCCCGCACTAGACCTTTCTCCAGACAGGCGATCACCTCGCCCTGAGAGTGGAGGTCCTGCAGAGAGAGAGAGTCAGGGTCCGTTAGTCAGCGAGTAATATCAGGTATCAGAGTCTGTCATTCTGCTCTTATATGATAAGGATTCCTTTTTATTTCAGGTTCCTACGTCATATAATATATAATGTACATGTTGTTTAGAGTTTCAGTTCAGGTTGGGAGGTACTTCTTAACCAGTTGTACACATGCAAAATATGCAAATGTTTGACCAGCAGATGCCTCGTCACTTCAGTGTTGCAACAGCTTTACCACAGCAGCCTTTCGTCAGCTTGCTTTGAGGAACCTCCTTTTGTTGGAGGCTTATCAAGGAGGGTCACGCTCATCCGAAAACAAAAACACCAGAAACAGTGTCCTTGTACCTCTGGATAAGAACAAAATGTAAAAGCTCCGTATTTGTATAGCGCCTTTCTGACCACTTTTACTGCATTCACCAGTCACACACATTCATACACTGAGCCTAAGTGCTCAAACAGAAACTAACATTCACACACATTCATACACTGAGCCTAAGTGCTCAAACAGAAACTAACATTCACACACATTCATACACTGAGCCTAAGTGCTCAAACAGAAACTAACATTCACACACATTCATACACTGAGCCTAAGTGCTCAAACAGAAACTAACATTCACACACATTCATACACTGGCGAAACAACCGGTTCAGTATTTTGCCCAAGGACACCTCGACACGCAACCAGGGGGAGCCGGGGATTGAACCGCCAACCCGCTCTACCTCCTGAGCCACAGCCGCCCCATAATGATCCTCCCGCACACTGGCAACAGGATCATTTCATCTGTACAGAGTAATTCGGTGAAAACTGATGACCGTTTGTTCTGTGCTTTATCCACAGTAAGTTCAACAGGTTATAGGGTGAAACTGAGTTTGTAACTCCCCTCTGCTACGTAGCAGAGAATACACATTAACATAGAAGCAGAAATAAATTATATTCAGTGGGCTGAGGATGAAAAAGTCTGACAGAGTCTTGCAGTCTGGTGGCTGAACTGACCCTCTGAACTTTTTATTCCACACATTCTTCGTTGTCAAAACCAAACGCCTACATTACCCACAATGCAACTCGACCACCCACAGTTTGGTGTGAGATTAGGGAGCGTTGTGCTAGTAGCGGGCTACAGAGGTCTCGCACCAACAGATGAAGTAGTACTTCCAGACACCTGGAAGTACACTTTGACAAGTTCAATAATCGCCATATTTATTTAGACTGTACCATGACAACTGATGTATCAACATTTAACGGAAACTTATTGGGTAGAACTTTACTACCTGCCCTAAACCGCCAACAGCCGATAGTCATGTAGAGAGGAACTGAACTTCCACTGAGAACAAACTCCTCCTCTCTTTTTCCAGAAGTGAAGACGTTTGATGTGAAATCCAAAGCACTGTACAGCTCTTTGAAAAACAAAAAAACTCTTTTTAAGAAAATAAAAAGACAAACTATGTAGATTACAGCATCACTAATCCCAGTAGAGCGCCGTTTCCTTTCACTCACAAGTCATGTTGTCAGAGAGAGTCTGGTATTTTTTCAGAGAAGCTCCGTCAGAGTAAACCTGGTCAGTCTAATCTCCCCTCCGAGCTGACAAATTCCTGATAATGAAGCCGACTCCGCTCCCGCTGACAAATAAATTATTTGCTCCGAGTTCTAATTATGCCGACGTGATATCCCATAATAACTGCATGTGTAACGGGCTTCTGAGGTTCAGCTTGGCTCAGCGGCGAGATCGATTGGCTCAAACTTCTTTTCCCATTCCAGCCGAGTGGAAGCAGCCGGTTCACAAGAGGCACCTCGGTGTGTAAACTGGTCAGACACTCACAAAATACTGGACAGGACAGTTCTTTCTTAGCTGCCCACCCTCTGGCTCTGCAGCACAGGTTTCGCGCTGTACCCCCAAACATTTCTGCATGCTGCTACGATTGATGCGTGTAAACTAATCGTGCTTTTCCGAAAGATCCTAATGACTAATTGCAATAAAATACTACTACAGGGCTACTTCCTGCTGGCACCAGCGTCTACTGCACATGATCGCGCAGCGTAACCGTGGTTTAATGATGTAGAACAGCTGCAGAAACAAAAAGTCTCATGGCTCAGTGTGTTTGTCTGACTCGGATCGTCACTGTTTAATCAGCCCACCTACGAGGCTCACCTGCCAAACACCAACACAGCGTCACTGATCGCCAAATATCTTTTTTAGATTGCGGAGAGTCTATAATCTAAGCAGTACGGTTACGTCTCTCATGTCCGACGGGGGAGTCATTTTTGGGCCCGCATGGATCCCTCCCAGCAGGCTTTGGTCGGCTTCACTGTCAGTGAGGTGACAGACACTCTTACTCCAAATCACTTGACTGATGAAAAATGTGATAATACTGTTGAGCCCCGACATACTGACAGCCCTAATTTACATTTATTCATTCAGCTGACGCTTCTATCCAAAGCCACTTATAATTGCCATGCGTGTCAGAGGTCGCACGCCTCTGGAGCAACGAGGGGTTAAGTGTCTTGCTCAGGGTCGCATTGGTCTCTCACACCAAAGGCACGTGTCTTATCCACTGTTCCATCACCACCATTTTAACAGATGTATTCCAGTATGTTCAGCCAGATGACCCAGTACGAGCATGGAGGTGGTTCTTCCATGTTTTTGTTCTATAAATCCTGACTAGTTAGTTTAAAAGAGTTTCATTGACCGGCCTGTTACCCCTGCATGGTTTAAATGTCTAGTTTTGGATATAGTATCTCACAAAAGTGAGTACGCTCCTCACATTTTTGTAAATATTCTTCTCATGTGACGACACTTCGCTAGCGAGCGTGCGTGCAGCTTGTGTAACATGTAGAACAGTGTAAAGTAGCGAGCGTGCAGCTTGTATAACAGTGTAAAGTAGCGAGCGTGCAGCTTGTATAACAGTGTAAAGTAGCGAGCGTGCAGCTTGTATAACAGTGTAAAGTAGCGAGCGTGCAGCTTGTATAACAGTGTAAAGTAGCGAGCGTGCAGCTTGTATAACAGTGTAAAGTAGCGAGCATGCAGCTTGTATAACAGTGTAAAGTAGCGGGCGTACAGCTTGTATAACAGTGTAAAGTAGCGAGCGTGCAGCTTGTATAACAGTGTAAAGTAGCGAGCGTGCAGCTTGTATAACAGTGTAAAGTAGCGAGCATGCAGCTTGTATAACAGTGTAAAGTAGTGAGCGTACAGCTTGTATAACAGTGTAAAGTAGCGAGCGTGCAGCTTGTAAAACAGCGTAAAGTAGCGAGCGTGCAGCTTGTGTAACAGTGTAAAGTAGCGAGCGTGCAGCTTGTGTAACATGTATAACAGTGTAAAGTAGCGAGCGTGCAGCTTGTATAACAGTGTAAAGTAGCGAGCGTGCAGCTTGTGTAACAGCGTAAAGTAGCGAGCGTACAGCTTGTATAACAGCGTAAAGTAGCGAGCGTGCAGCTTGTGTAACATGTATAACAGCGTAAAGTAGTGAGCGTGCAGCTTGTGTAACAGTGTAAAGTAGTGAGCGTACAGCTTGTGTAACATGTATAACAGCGTAAAGTAGTGAGCGTGCAGCTTGTGTAACATGTAAAACAGTGTAAAGTAGTGAGCGTACAGCTTGTGTAACATGTATAACAGTGTAAAGTAGTGAGCGTACAGCTTGTGTAACATGTATAACAGTGTAAAGTAGTGAGCGTGCAGCTTGTGTAACAGTGTAAAGTAGTGAGCGTACAGCTTGTGTAACATGTATAACAGCGTAAAGTAGTGAGCGTACAGCTTGTGTAACATGTATAACAGCGTAAAGTAGTGAGCGTGCAGCTTGTGTAACAGTGTAAAGTAGTGAGCGTACAGCTTGTGTAACATGTATAACAGTGTAAAGTAGTGAGCGTACAGCTTGTGTAACATGTATAACAGTGTAAAGTAGTGAGCGTACAGCTTGTGTAACATGTATAACAGTGTAAAGTAGTGAGCGTGCAGCTTGTGTAACAGTGTAAAGTAGTGAGCGTACAGCTTGTGTAACATGTATAACAGTGTAAAGTAGTGAGCGTACAGCTTGTGTAACATGTATAACAGTGTAAAGTAGTGAGCGTACAGCTTGTGTAACATGTATAACAGTGTAAAGTAGTGAGCGTGCAGCTTGTGTAACAGCGTAAAGTAGTGAGCGTACAGCTTGTGTAACATGTATAACAGCGTAAAGTAGTGAGCGTACAGCTTGTGTAACATGTATAACAGCGTAAAGTAGTGAGCGTGCAGCTTGTGTAACAGTGTAAAGTAGTGAGCGTACAGCTTGTGTAACAGTGTAAAGTAGTGAGCGTACAGCTTGTGTAACATGTATAACAGTGTAAAGTAGTGAGCGTACAGCTTGTGTAACAGTGTAAAGTAGTGAGCGTACAGCTTGTGTAACAGTGTAAAGTAGTGAGCGTACAGCTTGTGTAACAGTGTAAAGTAGTGAGCGTACAGCTTGTGTAACAGCGTAAAGTAGTGAGCGTACAGCTTGTGTAACATGTATAACAGTGTAAAGTAGTGAGCGTACAGCTTGTGTAACATGTATAACAGTGTAAAGTAGTGAGCGTACAGCTTGTGTAACATGTATAACAGTGTAAAGTAGTGAGCGTGCAGCTTGTGTAACAGTGTAAAGTAGTGAGCGTACAGCTTGTGTAACATGTATAACAGTGTAAAGTAGTGAGCGTACAGCTTGTGTAACATGTATAACAGTGTAAAGTAGTGAGCGTACAGCTTGTGTAACATGTATAACAGTGTAAAGTAGTGAGCGTGCAGCTTGTGTAACAGCGTAAAGTAGTGAGCGTACAGCTTGTGTAACATGTATAACAGCGTAAAGTAGTGAGCGTACAGCTTGTGTAACATGTATAACAGCGTAAAGTAGTGAGCGTGCAGCTTGTGTAACAGTGTAAAGTAGTGAGCGTACAGCTTGTGTAACAGTGTAAAGTAGTGAGCGTACAGCTTGTGTAACATGTATAACAGTGTAAAGTAGTGAGCGTACAGCTTGTGTAACAGTGTAAAGTAGTGAGCGTACAGCTTGTGTAACAGTGTAAAGTAGTGAGCGTACAGCTTGTGTAACAGCGTAAAGTAGTGAGCGTACAGCTTGTGTAACATGTATAACAGCGTAAAGTAGTGAGCGTACAGCTTGTGTAACATGTATAACAGCGTAAAGTAGCGAGCGTACAGCTTGTGTAACATGTATAACAGTGTAAAGTAGCGAGCGTACAGCTTGTGTAACAGCGTAAAGTAGCGAGCGTACAGCTTGTGTAACAGCGTAAAGTAGCGAGCGTACAGCTTGTGTAACAGCGTAAAGTAGCGAGCGTACAGCTTGTGTAACAGCGTAAAGTAGCGAGCGTACAGCTTGTGTAACAGCGTAAAGTAGCGAGCGTACAGCTTGTGTAACAGCGTAAAGTAGCGAGCGTACAGCTTGTGTAACAGCGTAAAGTAGCGAGCGTACAGCTTGTATAACAGCGTAAAGTAGTGAGCGTGCAGCTTGTGTAACAGTGTAAAGTAGTGAGCGTACAGCTTGTGTAACATGTATAACAGTGTAAAGTAGTGAGCGTGCAGCTTGTGTAACAGTGTAAAGTAGTGAGCGTACAGCTTGTGTAACATGTATAACAGCGTAAAGTAGCGAGCGTACAGCTTGTATAACAGTGTAAATTTGCGGTCCCCTCAAAATAACACATTGCAGTGAGCGGTTGTACTTTTAGTCACTTTGGGTCTCACCTTCTCTCCGGTGCTGATGCTGCCGCAGTGCAGATTGTTGATGTCGCTGCGGCACTTCTCCATGAAGCCGCAGATCAGCCGGAAGTCGCTGAAGACGATGGTGGTCATCTTGGTGATGTACTGGTTGCACTGGTAGTCGCTGATGTTGCCACGATGATCCACCAGGCAGGACACCAGGTAGCCCTTCCCCGGCTCCTCCGCTGCACATTCTTTAATCTGCAGGAAGAGCGCAGACAGCGTCACGACTGTAACTGCTAGGAACTGAACACCACCTGCAGCTTCATTAGGACAAAGACACAATAGGCTTATGGGTCATCCGAGAGTCTCTAGTGATGCTGTTCAGACAGTCACTGACAACAAGGTTTAAACTTAACTAATGAACAAACATCTGCAACATTTTACTAATTCAGTTATTCTCTTATGACGACATCAACATTTCTTCTTTTTAATCAGCAGCTAAAATTCAAAGCATTTTTAATCCAAACTCTTCCTCTTTACGTTGACTCCCTGTAAAGAAGAATGTTGTATGAGATTCATTTAATGACCCTGGGTCTTCTTATTTCCTGTAAAGTTCTGGATCAACTTTCAGACGCTTTTAATGACTAATAAAAAGGCACTACACGGCGTAGCTCCTCCTCCTCTTAGGACATCCAACCACAACCTGTTGGCTGTACATCGTGCCAAACTAAAAACCAAAGGCCAGGGTTAAGGGCTCTTTTGTTGTCCTGGCACCCAGACTTTGGAACAATGCCCCCCCTCTCCCATCAGATCAGCTGACTGATTTAAACCACATTTAAAAACCCACTTCTTTAGGTTGTCTATGATTTTAAAGGGTGTGTTCTGCTTGGTGACTGGTTGCTTTCTGGGTTATGTTCTTTTCTCTGCATTGTTGTTAAACCCCTGTTAAAAATGTGCTATATAAAGTTTTAAATTTTGATGTACAAATACAGAAACAAATGGCCTAAAACAGCTTCCTATCATCATAACGATTTCAGTAAAATAATCCTCCCTTTCCAATACAAAGCTTTATGCCGCATTCAGAGCAAACGCAAATTTTCTCCTCGCGCGAGTATATTCGCTGCAAGTGTTCACACACACACACACACACCGCTAGAAGGCGATTTTAAAGCAATAACGTGAATTACTACAACTATACTATACTAGTTACTACTATAACTGCATGAACCCAAAGTAAACATTTTGCTGTGATTAAAGAGCAATAAACGGATCAAACTGATGCTGAAACAACTACAACATGATGCTGTTCTGTTAGACACGTGAATTGATGCTTTGTCAGGTCTGTCAGCAGGACAGCAGCTTCTAACATGTTTGTTTTCTGAATGGAGTTCGGATCGATCAGGGCTATGCTACGCTAACTTGGTCACCGTAAAGTACGACGACAGCTGGAATAAAGTTACAGACGCATGTTTTCTGAGTAGTTCAACCTCCTCGCTTTCTGTCCAGTTTTTATATAAATATGAAGTAGTGCCAAACGACGCCAGCAACACTGGAACGTGCACAGAAGCTGCTGAGAAGCTCAAGTGAAGATAAATCCACGTTGTAATCCAAAAAACTAAAAAGTAAATTTAATAAAAGCCGTTTACTCCGAGCTCCTCCCTCAAGCAAACGCCGTAGTTGTCAGCAAGGTCGGACTGGACGGGTGTTTATTTGTAGCAGCGCTCAGCCGGCCTGCAGATTTTCAATCCCCCGCTCTGCCCGGCTCTCTCCACACGACGCTCTGAGCCGTCGGTGACGTACGGACAATCTCAACACTGATAGGCTATCGCAACACAGCGTCATGCGAATTCCTTTTTCGTCTCACGCAACTCCTGAGAAAATTATCTGGCAGCTAAATGTTGTACTTTCTTTACCAGCTGGTCTCCAACTGCGTCTGACTGCTGAGCAGGTCGTGTACAGCGGCTTTACCAGAGCTAGTTTGATGAAAACTGCTGCTGCTGGAGGTAAGGTTAGTACGAGCGTGGAGAGTGACCCTAAGCCAACTAGAAGCAGAAAGATGCTAAAACGCTCTGTAGAACCGAGAGAAAACGCTGAGATGGGTGATCATTTTCCCGCTGATTTTCCACTTGCCTGTCTTCTGTTTCTTTATGCCGTCTACACATTATCAAAGCCTGCAGATGTTTGCTTCATTTGTGTTGAGGTGCTTTGAGATCTCTCAGACACCACACAAAGCAACTCATCATACTTTAACAAACAAGCAGGCTGAGCTACTCATCTACAATCTCATTAGGAAATCAAGTTCTTAGCAACACCTGCTTCAAAGCCGAGCTGATTACAGATTACTGTATATAAGAATCAGGCGCGGCCTTGAAAAACATGTTTTCATTTCCCACAGATGTGACAAGCCTGTTGATGTCCCCTAACAGTCGAAGTCTTTCCTGAACTGACTTGAGCTGAAACTTCATTTAGTTAAAAAAAAATATCAGGCTGAACTGAACAGATTGTGGTTTCGAAATGGATAAAGGTTTTATTGGAGACCTTGTGGTTTTATGTTTTTCACTTTCTGCTAAATCTCCCTTTTTTTAACCGAGGAGGAATCCAAATATGTTTCTGAGAGCGGCAGTGAAGAGGAGCAGGATCGTTCTCGTCAGACCACTACAGCAGCTGTGTGGACTGTCAACAAACAAAGAGCCTGGTAGATGGAAAAAAACAAAACAAAACGTGGACGAGACTGGGGCCGATTCCTTTACACTCAGCTACAAGCACTAAACACCACACCTGATCATTTCCTGGAAGCTGAGATAAAAATCCTGCACTGCACAGCTTTGGTTCTAGAGACTTACCTCAGGGATGGTGGTCTTGCAGACCTCCATGGCCACAGACTCAAACTTCGGGTCGGTGGTCAGGTTCAGCTTGTAGTTCCACAGCAGCTGGAGGAGAGAAGATACATAAAACATCAGATTTATACTCACTATCCAGATCCAGACAGAGTCTAACAAACTGGATCATGATGTTACTTCCGTCTCTCTCTTATCAAAACGCTGTCATTATTAAACTTCTGTGGCCGGCGTTAGAATAAAACCTTTAATTCACACGGTACAACTTGGCATTTTTGTTGTGATGGATTTGATTTGCATGCCAAAATAGCCACTGTAGGTTAAAACTGGGCAAAATTTGGTTTCAAAGTTACATATAATTATTATTTCAGCAGTATTTACGTGCTTAACACTGAAATGCAGTCCTTTAAATGCTGTTGCAAAAAACAGATTTATGATGCAACATCTAATTTAACCGGGTGATACAGTTGAGAGCTCAGGGGGAAAAGTTAGTAAGTGGCTCTGGTATTTTCTCCAAGGTCAAGAACAAACTTTGATGCCTACATTTTAAGCTAGAGCAGACGAGAATATCTCAAGGCGCTGTGGATGAAATCTGAAAAGCTAATAAGCTTGCAGGTTGAAAGTAAGTGGACCTTGATTTGGGACCTAAAACTCAGCAAATCAATGCTCATCTTGGTTGTTCAAGAACCAAACTCGTGCATATATCAGTGGAGAAAATCCTACACACATGGAATGACAGGATAAAGCGGTGCAGGCTGGGAAGTGGAGTTTAACACAGTGACACCAGGAGGAAAGACACTTACATGGTTGCATTCTGCAGCGATCTCAGTTTCCTGAAAGAGACGAGAGAAAGGAGAGGTTAGAGCGTAAACTGCAGAGAACTTTCTCCTTTTGACTGTGGTAGATTCGTGTCTTTATGAATGAAGCGGCTACTCAATATGTCACCTGTGCCATTTCATTGTTTGCCTAAAGTTGGAGGACCTTTGCAACATCCCATAATCCACTGCAAGCTCGTCCGTAGTAGATTAATCGGTTGGCCTGCACTCCTGAGGCCGATAAACAAACTGTCCGCCCTGAACACGTATCTTCATCTCCAATCTAATCCAACGCCTTCCCTAACCAGCGTTACATATATTGTTATACTGTAGAGAACTAACTGAACCCTGCTCTCCCTTAAACCCCGGCCACCTTCTGAAATCTACAGCAGAAGCCAAATTATGTTTTTATGCATTTAAAGTATCCCCATTAGCAGATGCCATGACGGTCAGCTCATCTTCCTGGAGTCCACACCAGACATACTTTACACAACACATTACAATTAACTGCACTATTTTATATTAAACGACCTCAATTTATTGTGCATTCATATATTAAAAGAAAAAGAAAACAAATGCATATTTGCAATTTAAGCATTCATATACAATCCAATCACCACTACATACCATACAAGTAGGAGGAATCCTAATTGAAACACTATTTTATCCATTAAAATCTGAAACAACGGATAACAGGCCAAGAAAACGTATATATTAGATTGTGCTCTGCATGAAAGAACGAGATTACGCGTCACTTTTCTTTGTTACTGGCATTTTATCATGTTGAAAAATTGGCACCGGCCATTAAAAAAGAGCCATATCGGTGGAGCGCCAGTCTGCAGCGCGAGGGTGCATTCAGGCGGTGTTGTGGAGCCTGGCAGCGGTGTCAGGCGAGGACATCGTGGTTAAACCGTCTCATTTAAGGACCAGAGGCCAGTGAGAGTCATTTTCCTGCCGTGCTCCGTTGACCTGAGGTAAACCGGCCTTAACTTCCAGCCCCGACCGGCAGCCAAACGCCTGCAGACCTACAGCGTTTGCCATTTCTGCCCGTTTTCCACATGGCAGCCGCACCGTGAGCCAGGAATAGGCCGTCTGTGGGATGGGGGGGGGCGCGTACTGCAGAGGACTGACAGATGTTATAAACAGCACAGAGCTGACTCAGTGCTCAGCTGGGGAGAAGAGAAATAAATAAAGGGTCCTGGAAATGTGACCCAGACTGACCTGCTGACACGCCCACCAGCAGAACAGCAGAGCAGTACTGGTCCAGATGTACAAAGTGCTTTGTTTATTTTAAATATTTCGGCCGGGGTCTCTTGGCATTAAACAGCTTCTGCCTTGTGTTGCCTATAGAGACGATGTTTTCTTTGTAGACACAATAAACATTCCCGATGGATTTTTTCATTAATACATCTTACTTTTGATTAAATGGCAGCTAATGGCATTACACTAGCAGCCCGCCACTGCAGTTAGCTATAAAACATGTCACGGAGCACGTTGTACCTGCTCCCTCCCGCCCTACAGCCTTTATCTAAAGGGATAATTACCACACATGAAATCCTGCGGTTTAGCCGACTTCACCGACATTCAGCGCCAGAGACGAGATCACGAGAGCAAAGTGGGAGTGAGCAGAACGCCCGTCACCGGTTCCACTACATTTAGCTTTGCACTTATGTCCTTTTGAGACAAGCTGCGACTGTTGTATCCTGTTCTGTGAATAATACACAAATACACATGAATACACATCGGGGTCCTGGATCCTTCTCAAGACTTAGGAGACAGCCCGAAAAACTAAATAAACAAAATGACAAAATACAATTTGTACCCAATAATGAAAAAATCCAGGAGGAACCCCATTTACTGTAAACGGGCTTAAAGTCAGTACACGCCTTCCTGCCGGGTAAAATAAATCTGACGGCTACGATGTGGGTAAAAACTTTTAATTATTTAATCCATTTATAGATTAAAAAGCTCATAGGTTGTACAACCACATGTAAATATAAATATCCTATAAATCTAATATTGTCATAAGGAAGTTTAACCCGACCGAGACGGATTTTGATATTTGAGGATTTTAAATCTGATTTATTGGTATTGGATATTATTAAAATCCTCGTTGACTGTCACATAACAAAACTCTAAAGGCAGCTATTCAAATAAGAAAAGCTGACTTTGTATTTAGTTCATCACCTTCCTAAGATGGAAATCAGAGACCGCTCAGCTCCCTGATTGTTCTGTTTATGGAGGCGTAAGCTGTAATTCCGGTTCCTCTGACCGCCACCTGAAATCATCAGATCGCGTTTGTTGGTAATGTGAACACCGTCAGAGTCTGATGCCGGGTCGACACCTCGGCGCGGGTCCGTTTGATTTTCTGTGGAAAACCCCACCTCTTCCCCTGCTCAGTCCGCCAGCTCTGCACTGAACAGACAAACATCACTTCACGCCGCCGCAGAACCCAGTGTGACTCATGTGGGCGTCCACCCAGCTCTGTGAGGAAAGCCAAAACCTCTCAGCTGTTTAATCCTGTGTAGGTTTAAACGCCAAGATAAACTAACTATGATGAAACCAGCCCGCTTCTGAAAGTTACTGTTCAGGTAAATCACACTGTTGTATTAATCCACCTGTGTGAAACTCAGTGTGAGCAGCGGTTAGAGCTGTAATCTGACAGGAGGGGGGAAGAAAACCAACACAGCGACACACCCAGCCACATACTTCAGGCTCTTTGTTCACCGACGCTGCTTCCTCACTCAGAATGACAACTGTGAAAACCTCCGTCTCATTTAATAGCTGCAACTAAACCAAACTTAATCAGCTCTCTACGTTTGGTCCGGCTTGAGTTTGTGACACTGACACAGGAAGTGTCCTTCCCAACACCTTCCGAGTCCTGAAACAGCGCAGCAGCTACGGCCTTCATGACGCTTTCTGAGCCCTGCTTCCTGAAGCTGAATACAAACCTACTGAAAACCTTCACAATTAAAAGAATTTGACAATAAAGACATTGGACCAGCTGATTGCCACCACAGAACGCAGCCTTATCTATATTTGGTTCCAGTGTTGAGTACCTGGCATCTGCTGATCATCTTATCGACGTCTGTTTGGTTTATAATATGATCATTATAACAAAGAAAGAAACTTCACATTTGAGAAGCTGGACGCAGCTTTTGTTTTTATTTATAGAGCACATTTAAAAAGAAAAAACAGGTTTAATAAAGGAATAAAACATAAGAGGTTCAAGAACAATTCAGCGGCTTCAACAGCAGAAGAGCACACTGCCCAGAGTTTGAGCTGACAGTCGTATACCTGCAGAGAGTTAATGTTCTTCGTGATAGACGCCAGACACGCCAGCGCCATCTTAACCGCACTTTCTGCTTCGTACCATCAACTAACAGCTGAATATCGACGCGGTGTTTTAAAACTACATGTAAGGCTGTGCAATTAATCGAAGTTTAATCACGTTTCCATTTTGGCTTCCAACGATCATTAAAAACAAGTTAATCGAATCATCGATTATTGTGCGCATGCTGTTTTGCAATGACACTCATTTCGTCCCTTCCCCCTCCCTAAAAGCCCGACTCCCCGTCAGCAGGCTGTGACGTTCACTTCAGCTCGAGCCAACACCACCTGGTTTTAGCTGCGACAACCTGCCAGTCACCGTTATGAGCTTCAGCCTGAGACTCTCAAAGCGTCACAGTTCACATATCGTTTATGCTTAAAGCGGGCGTGTCACGCGTTGCTGCACCTGCTCCGTGCCCCCGTCTTCTACCGCAGGCGGATTTAGCAGTTTCCTCACCGTTTAACTTGAACAGCCCTGTTAAATTTGGGCGTTACGTCACATAACGAGTGGGCGTCTTCACCCGTCACCTGCTCCGATCCGTGTGCACGCACAAACACACAGACGCAGCGTCGCCGTCTTCCTCTTGGCTCTAAGATGCTGTTTAAAGTTAAAAACATTTCATTACTATTATGGGCTATTTTGGATAATGCATAATCGTTTTAAAAAATGAAGCATTTATTTTTAAAAGTCCCATAAATGCACGACGTTTCCTAAGTCAATCAATAATCGTGTTCATTTCAATTATGACCATAAAAAAAATTGCGATTATGACTTTTGCCAAAAATCAAGCAGCCTTCTGTAAATGTAGGCATTAAAGAGGGCAGCAAGTGACTTATTCTTTTTAATCAATTAATCTACCCGTTATAATTTCCCAGGACCCTTTCAACACCTTCAGTTGTCTTTCTGTCTGACCAAAACTCAAAGATATCATGTTTACAGCAAATAGAGAAAAGCAGCTAATCCTCCCAGAGAAGGTGTTTCTGCATGTGAAGAGGACTTCAACCAAATAGTTTAAACAACTTTCTGCTTACCAACTAACAGATAAATGCATTTAAAAAACATAGCACACAAGCAAATGTCATGCTTCAGAGACAAGAACCGCTCTGGAGTGTTACAGAGCAAAGAGCCACAAATAAGACACACAGCAGACCGTCTCCTGCAGCAAACCCGGATCTCAACGCGCCTGCATCCTGTAACATCTGGAGTTACAGTGAGCGACGCACGCAGAGTTTATAATCAGGCCATCAAAAACTAATCCAACAGGACAACGGTCCACCTCCGGCTGCACACTGTTTGCTTTCTGAAGAGCGGGGTGGGGCAGTATTCACACAGCTTGTGACGTTTCATCAAACTGTGGCGCAGAACAGAAAGCTTTCTTTAGTCTAAAGACTTTTCTCCAACACTTCACCACACTTCCCTGTAAGTGATAAGCTGACCAGACTTAGTGGCGTGCTTTTTATCAGGTTCGTGTTTACTTTGTTATCCTCCAATCAAATGAACATTTTAAAAAGGCAACAAGTGAAGAGATTCACAAACCAAAAACAGATGAAAGGCATTCACATGTTACATATAGTCCAAAACTGAAAGTAATCCATTTATGTAAAAATGTGAAGAAAACCAGCTTAAAATGACGACGTTATCTAGTACAGGTCTTTTTCTTAATAAAAATGCATGAGACTAACGCAGC